GCCGTCTTTTTCGCCGACACGCTCTACTGCCGACTTCTCTTTTCACCCGAAAATCTTCGTCGTCAAGTGGGTTTCTTTAAATTAGAGAACAGGAAGTAATCGCTCGGGTCAGGTCTGACCTGTATGGTGGGTGGTTGATTGCTCCAAATCCGGTGTCGGCCAGGGCACGCATTGTAACTAGCGCAGTGCGCATGGGTGCAATGTCATGCAGGACTTCTTTGGATTCTCCCATTCTCGACAACCACTTGACACACTTTTATCAACTCTGTGACATAATAGTCTCCGTTCACAAAACGGCAGTGTTTGGATGTCCTGAATTGGGATCAGCTTCCAGCGACTCCCTGCCATGCCTGAATTCTCGGCTCCAACGTTTAGTAGGCATTACTTCAAATATTTCCGTCGGCGTTTTATTCTTTTTTGTGAGGAATTTGAGGGCAGCTCTGCACTTCAATTTAGTACAATGCGCGGATGACTCACACATGGTAATGTTTACGGCTTTTTTTTTTACTGAAATCCTAAGGATATTACTGACATGAAATTAGGTATTTATAGTGGCAGGCAAGACAAGACAGTAATGACACTTAAAGGTAAAACTTTTCAGCCTCCCCTCGCATGTATGTACGTATGCACGTAGGAACATGCGTGCGTCTCTTTTATCAGAATTGTGTAGTTCTATTATATATTAGCGGCTTTTCCATGCCATTTGAAAATATCAAGGTTGTATTTAACGGTTATGATTAAGATAACAACCGCGAAATTTATTATGCTCGGCGAAATTTGTACAAATCTACTGATATGCGATTATCAGTATGATGGCTGATATAGATTAACTTCGAAGTGTTGCCTTTGCGTGTAACGCTTCAGAAGTAAAATATTTTTCCCGAACTATTCAATAATTCGTTTTTATTTGACGAAAATTTGGTACAAGAAGGGTATTTATGTTTACATGTTTGGTATGCGCAGAAAACCAAGCCTGAAGCACACGGAGGATGAGATAACAATAGTCACGTAGAGTGACTCAATGACCAAAAACTCCCCCAAAGTGTAATGAAAAAGTGCTTCTTTCTTTACAATTTTGATACCCTGTATCCTAATTTGAAAGTTGAAACGATCTTAAACCGCTGCATAACATTCTTCGGTTATCGTTTTTTTCTTTTTCGATATCCGCTTCTGCGCGCGGTTTTGATGGTTTCGAGCGCTCAGCAGTGCTTAGATATAGCTCCATATTTCATCAACGAGAACCGCGACAAGTTAAGGTGGTGGGTTGCCTTATACGTGGCGCCACACTTGGACCATAAAAAGCTATCCTAAAAATTGAATAGTAAATAACTGGTAAATAAGCTGTGTGCCAAGAACGAAGTTTTGCAGGTGGTTGGGTTCAGTCTCGCAGAGCACCACAGGGCCGTTCATAAACAGTAATTCAAAGTTTTTATATCAACCTCCCAAAAGTTGGTCATCTGAGGTAAATCACGTTATCATCCTCAAAGCTGCGGTTACAGTTAGGACCCGGTGCGATATTTCATCGAATTCCAATCGGATATTTATTTATCAAAAGCCTACCAGATCTGAGGGTTGCGTCTGTGCGAGCCCAAGAAAATATCTGTTGGTATACGGTCGCACTTGTGCTGGTTTTTGAACAGCGTTCC